GTAAAACCTCCTATAATCATATTAGCTATAGCTTTATCAGAATTACCATTATTCTTGCATATAGTGCTATACATGAGCATCCTATGGACAGCATTATAAATCTGTCTTTCAGTAAAACCATCAATATTCCATTCATAAATATTTTTACCACTATAGGAATTATTAACAATATATTCTTGTTCTTCAAAAAGAACATCTTGGGGAGTAGGCCTGGGATAATAATACATCCTTTGGGTAGGCCTATCAGCGTATTTTGAGAGTTTATCAATCTCTTCTCGGACAGTATTTTGATAATTATCATTATCACTCATATCACTTTCAAACTCATTATTAAGAGTTTTAATAGAAAGATTCTTGAATTTTTCATCAAGCATTTTTTCAAGTTCAGACATCGATTTTAATTTAAAATCCTTAACATCTGGAGGAGGTTGGATACTAGGAGTAGCAATGCTTTCTTGGTTAAAATTTTTATCAATATGTAATGAACTTTTGAGTTCATTAATGCTAGAAATAATTCTTTCTACTCTGTCATGTAAAGACACAATTTGTTCTCCAAGAACGATTAAATAAATATTACTAAAATTTTCTTGTTTTATTAAGCCATTAATATGAGCAGTAGTAATAGGTAAGACTTCACTATCAAGAAGTTTTTGGAAAGCAGTATAATGTTTCAGTATCTTTTTCAATTTGAAAAGATTGAGAAGGAGGAAAAATTGTTTTTAAAATCCTTCCATTTTGAGAATACTTGTACTCTCTTTCAATAACAGAAATATAATTTTCAGCATAATTGGTTATAAACCATGGGACAAAAGATATTTTAATATTTTTTTTCGAAAGATCATTATAAAAATTTTCTTGAAATATTTTTCGATCTTCTTTTGTAAAATTTTCAAAAAACCATTTTTTGAATGGTTCCCATCTAATAATAATAATAATAATAATAATAATAATAAATACTAATAATTAATATTAATTATTACTAATTAAAAAAGATATAATTAGTAATTCAAAAGATATAATTTAAAAGAAAAAAGAAAAAAAAACGAAATGAAAACAAAAATATACAAAGTCTTTATTTACAAATTAAATTTTTGATTTTGTTGAAATTATGTGATATTAAATTATGTAACTAAACAATTGAAATAAAATAAAATAATGATATAATATAAAAAATAAATACAAAAGAAAAGGAAAATAAAAAAAAATATAAAATTAACAATTAAAAATGAGAAAAGAAAACAAAAAAAAATAACGTATATAACAAATAAAAAAGAAAAAAGAAAAAAACAAAAACAAAAAGGAGCGTGTATCACACGCCCCCTTCGAGCACGTGAGTTGGAAGGGGCAGCTCAAGGGATTCCTCCCTCCCCCTCTCCCCACCCCTACCCACCCCAGACCCACACCCCCTTGACCCACCTCCATTGAAGGTGGTTTTATCACCCTACTCCAACCCATACCCATCTTCGTTGGAGATGGTCTTATAGGTATAAAGTGTAATTGGTTAGTTGTAAGTGTACAATAATCACAATTCCCCCCCTCTTCATAGAGAATTTTGATTTTAATGCTTATGATTAAGTTTGGATTTATGCTTGTTGCTTCTACTTGATGGTTAATACATTATCTTCCATAAATTTGATCAATCTATTATTTATTCATACCATCTGGGTCAGGTTTGCGTGGATATTACTGTTGAATAGGTTGTTCATATAGTGTTTATGTTCCTACACTCTTCAAACCAAGGTCGAAAAGGAATGCAAGTGATTGTACGGACTCATCCCGCTGAGGATCTTCTGCAACATCGTGGACCGTGATCGTCATCTTTCATCACGGCATTGGAAATTATTCGTCTTTACAGCCTACCACCTCTTCCCAAACGCTAACGTTAGGGCATAAATTACACTGTTAAGATAGCATTCTGCTATCAATAATCTTGTTATTCTTCGGTCCGTGGTGATTTACATTGTTAAGGTAGCATTATGCTATCAATAATCTTGTTATCCTTCGATCCGTGGTAGGTCTTGAGGACAGTAATCCTCGAATCTACCAGACCTCCGTTCATTTTATTAATATTATATAGGCCAAATGGCAGAAAGGGACATGACAATGGACTTAAATGCACATTGGTCCACAAAAAAACAGTATTACTATCATCATGTCTTTAGTCAAAAATACCCTCCATAATATATTTTTTTGTCAATTCCATCCATTATACTCTAACTTTTTTAATATTACACATGGACCCCGGATTTAAACAAATATATCACATTAACCCTCATTTTAATAATTTTTTGAAAGAATATTTTTTTTTCAGAAAATAATTTTTGTTCTGATTTTTTTTCCGGCCATATTCCGGCGTTAACTTTTTTTTTTTTTGGAAAACTTATATTTTTTATGAAATTTTTTTAAGGCCGGTCAACCACCGGTCTCTGGCGTTGATTTTTTTTTTTGAAATTTTTTTTTTCTTAGAAAAAATATTTTAATTAATATTACTGTCTTGGCTGTTAAATTACTATCTCATACAGTAATATTACTGTTTGGGACAGTAATATTATGACTATTATTTTCCGAACAGTAATATTACTAATATTACTGTCCCAGATAGTAATATTATTGCATAAGATAGTAATATTACGGTCGGAAACAGTAATATTACAGTCGAAGACATCACAAATGCAGGCCAATACGATAAATTAATTAATACAGTAATATTACTGTCTCAGACAGTTAAATTACTGCTGGACACAGCAATTTAGCATCTGAGACAATAATATTAATTAAAATAATTTTTTTAAGAAAAAAAATATTTTAAAAAAAAAAGTCAATTAACAGTTAAATTACTGTCTCCGACAGTTAAATAACTACGGGAGACGGTAATTTAGCAGCCAAGACAGTAATATTAATTAAAATATTTTTTTAAGAAAAACAAAAGTCAATTAACAGTTAAATTACTGTGTCCTACAGTTAAATAACTGCTGGAGACAGTAATATTAATTAAAATATTTAAAAAAAAAAGTCAATTAACAGTTAAATTACTGTCTGCGGCAGTTAAATAACTGCTGGAGACAGTAATTTAGCAGCCAATACTTTTTATATTAATTAAAATATTTTTTTAAGAAAAAAAATTAAAAATAAATTCAACGCCGAAGACCGGGGGTCTTCGGCAGTTAGCCGCGGCTGACCGGCGTCTCCGATGGTGGCGGGTCAAAATTAGTTAATTGGTGAAATTGGGCCAAACGTAAATCATGAAATTGGAGTTGAATTGAGTTTAAGGAATTGATGGTAATTTTGGTATATATAAAAGGGTTTTACTTATTTGCAAATAAGTTTGAATGAGCTGGAAATATTTACCAGACAAAAAAATTGGATGCCCCTTTTTTAATTAAGTACCCTTGTCATGGGTCATTTTGAGATTAATCCTATATATAGTAGACAAATATATAATAACTATTGTTTTGTTAAAGTATTATTATAGTTACATGCCCAAACCAAACATACATCGCCATATGTGACTTTAACTGAGGTATATCAACTCATTATTATTTGTTTCGCCCTCGAGCGGACCTTCTAAATACGATGGACTATCAAACGCTGGAAAATCATCGACACGATCAAACGGTGTCGGGGCCGGCCCTGGGATGGGGTGAGCAGCGCCCACGCCCGGGGCCCAAGTGCCTAGAGGGGCCAGTTTTCCATTTTATTATATATACATATTATATATTTTTTATATGCAAAAATTTATTGTTTTATTAAAATAAACATATTCTTCTATTTAAAAAAAATATTCTTATGTTATTAATTTTAAATTGAGTTTAAAAGTAGACGTAAAATTTAATATCTTATTTAATCAAATGAAAATTTATTACATATTTCTTTAACATTTATGTCACATAATTTTTTTTATCTTGATATACATTAATATTTTCAATCTTTTATTTATGAGGTTTCTATTTATAAATAATTTATTTATATTATGTCATTAAGCATAATATGCAAAAAAAAAAATATATTCTCGCTCGGGGTCCTCAAATACGCCGGACCGGCCCTGCACGGTGTGTGTGCCGCAACCTGCTCAGCACTCCCGGTCTCATCATCATCATCATCATCATACATCTCATTGTCCTCCATCTCCTCATTGTCGTCCCTATTATGTACTGGAGTACGAACATCACTAACGAAGTTATCACAGAAGACCTTGCTTCCACTGCCAGAGCTTTTTCTCTGGCTCTCATCTTCCTTGTACGGTTGGATGCAAGAATTTTCCAATATTATACATAAGCAATCCGGACCATCCGGATTATTCAAATTCCCCCCCCCCCCCCCCCCCCCCCCCCCCGGGCAAGCTTTCATAATGCATATTCCTTTTACTGCAATCTGACTCATCAAACCTTTTATGTTGCATTTGCTTGGAATTGCAAATTTTAAATAAAACTAATTCAGTGTTCAAACTTCAAATATATATAGTAATATTACTGTGAGACAGTAATATAGTAGGTTAATATTAATTTAAATATTATTATGCTTGTTATGATCCTATTTCCCATTTTCTGTTTTTCTAAAGTGTATTTATTTTTATTAAAATAATATAATAATCTAGTATTTAATATTTATGAGTGTCACGATTTTTTAGTATTTTTTCATTATAATTTAGCTAGTAATTAAATTTATTTGTGAAGGAATATAATTATGGTTAATATAGTTAAATTACATCATTAAGTTACGAAAGACTTTGGAGTTACCAAACAAACTTATATGTTCAGCATTCGACATTACAATGCTAGCTCTTAACCGTTCAAATGTTTATTCAACATTCAACATTCAGCACTTAATCTTGTCAAACGTAGTTTAATTGTAAAAGAAAAGGTATTTCCAACAAACTTTCAAAATTTTGTTAATCAAAACTCATGTTCTTAATGTTCTTGAGGTATTGCCAAGGAGAAGAGTGGTGATCATCACAAAGAAAATAGATACAGTGACGACTTAATCTAAAACTTGATTGGTAGGTTCTATTATGTTCGTACTTATTTCCTTACATAACTAATTAAATGAATTCATTTAAATACAAACATAAGAAAATGAAAATTAGAAAATCATCTCAAGGAATGCAATGATCCTGGACTTGTACAATGATCTTCCGGCAACAACATTTTCATTCACACACAAATCAAACCAACTTCTCATTTCTATTTCATCATCTTCTTCAGTCAACATTGATTCGCTGCGATAATATTTTAAGTCCAGCCTCCAAATCACGTAACGTGATTGTCAGTAGTTCATCGCCTTTAGAATTCAAATCCAGCCTCGAATCAAGATTTTCCCGAGCATTGTTCAACATATGATCAACCAAACCTCCATTCAGTTTGTTCCGCAGCTTCTCAGAGGAGTTCTTCTCAATCACTTTAAGAATAGCACCGGGTGTACACGAAGGATGGAGCTTAAATCCGTACAACCTGCTCTTCTCATTTTGCTTGCTCATCTTTATCATCACCATCTGTGCAAGATCGTTGCATGTAAAATCATCAAATTGAAAAAAGTGGGAAACTCTCCTGCAAAATCCCGCATTCGAAGAGAACACACGCTTCATCGGCTCAGTATAGCCGGCAAAAATGACCACAATATTTCCATCTTCCATCACAGACATAATCTCTTCCAATGCCTCCACACCAAAGTCTTGGCTATGACCTGCACCCTGCTCGGGTGCTAAGCGATATGCTTCATCGATGAACAAAGTCCCCCCCATAGCCTCTTCGATCTATAAAATCATCAATCCATTATTATTAAAACATCGAAGAAGCTTTAAGAACAATACGGGACATAAAAATATTTCATACTTTTTTTCTAGTCTTTGGTCCGGTTTGTCCAATATACTCTCCTATCAAATCCGATCTTTGCACTTCTATTACACTATCAGAAGAAAGTACACCAACAGATTGAAGTAGTTTGCCCAGGATTCGTGCCACGGTGGTCTTACCTGCACAAGAAATACTCAACGATCCAATTAATAAAAAGAATAGTGATATAAATAACGGCCGATAATTGAGCGAAAATACCTGTCCCGGGATTTCCAAGAAACGCCATGTGAGGTGCTTTTCTTGGTCCGAGATTTATCCCCATCGCACGACGCTTCTCATCCATGAGCATCCCCTTTGCCCATTTCTTAAGCTGAAGTTTAAGCTCATGCAATCCAACTATCTTCGATAGTTCTTGATCAAACTCTTTCATCCTTCTTTCTATTCCATCTTGATCATCACTTGGCTCTTCGTAATTTTGGAACCCGTTTCCGGTAAATGAGGACCCCGATGTATCAGATTGCCCCGTGTTGTTTACGTGTTCCTCGTGATTAGAGCTGCCTGACGTATTCATCATTTCCAATATGAATTTTTTTATGTATTCTTCGTAATTATGCCCCCCGGGCCTTGATGTGTTAATATTTTCCACGATTAGTTTTATCTTTTCTTTGTAGTTTTCAGGCCTTGAGCTGCCTGATGCACTGATTATTCCCATGATTTTGTTTATTTTTTCTTCGTAATTTCCAGGCCTTGAGTTTCCTGATGAATGAATCATTCCCATGATCTTTTTTATTTGTTCTTCGTGATTTCCGGGCCTTGAGTTTCCTGATGAATGAATCTTTCCCATTATTTTGTTGATACGATTTCCACCTCTTGACTGGACCATCAATTCTTCGGAATTGTCGGTTTGAGTCGGAGCATTAACTTTCAGAAATCCCATCAATTCTTCATTTTGTAGGCCTATTGGGAGATAGTTTAAAGGAATCATACCCTCCTGCCCACATCCATGACAAAATAAAAGTTCATTATCAATGAAATCAATATTAAAATTAAATAAAAAATGAATATGAATTATACATCGTCTTTGGCGGAACAATCGGCATTATAATCGGATAACGTTTTCACAATCGAGTTGTCTCCAGATCGAAGTGCATAACCAACTGCAAGATGCAATGGAGTCATCGAGTTCTGCAAGAAATTTGCACAACAAAAGACTTGTAAGAATTATTGGAGATATTAATATTAAATGATACATTTCACTAACTGCTTAAACTTTTGGTTGAGATGGTCATTCAACAAGAATGTTGGTGAAATTCAGATACTGCAAGTATATAAGACACTAAAAAGAAAACATAAAATAGTGTACATTTGTTCTTGCTTCAATATAGACACCATGGTCGAGAAGCAACTTGACCGCCTCGTTGCATCCATTCTTAGCTGCCGTGTGCAATGGAGTCTCGCCGTACTGTGCATACAATTGTCAACAAAATGGAGAAATCTATAATCATAAGATGAAAATATAATTATGAAACCGTAATACATTAATTATTGTTTCGTCGACGGACATACCGCATTCTTAGCTTCCAACTCCACTTTCCCTGGTCCTTCCCAGTCAAGCAAATACTTTATTATTTCAACTTTATTGGCACCAGCAGCAATATGCAATGGGGTTTGTAGCATCTGCATCCAAGAAAAATATAGCAAGGATTGTTGTATTTAGGTGATTAACTACAATTACTTAGGACTCAAATATGTGCTAAAGAATTAACAAGCGTATTTTTTGCTAAAAAACTCACAGAAAATGTTATTGTATGTTATATGTATATTTACTTGACGAGAGTGATATTGATAATTTAAAATGTTCATCACAATACAAATAATAAAATTATAACTAAGATTTTCATGATCTCTTGTTCATAAATCAAAGGCATAACAACTAAAGGTTAAGTACACTTATGTTCCCCTTTTATTAACCCCAGACTATACAAGTATCAAATGTCACTACAAGAAAAAGTTGCATTAGCGACACCTCAATTGTGACAAATACAAAAGTTGTCACTTAATGTACACACTAAGTGACAACATCTCTTTTATTGTTATTAATAGCTCTTTTTGTTGTCACTTAATCCTTATTTAATGTCACTATAGAGTATTAACGACATCCCGTTAGTGACAAGTTGACAACACTTTTTGCCTAACTATGTGAAAAATATGTTTTGCCACTAAATTTTTTTTTAGTGTGTAACGGTCACCGCATTCTAATCATTTAAGTTTTTAAGACATATGACAATATATGAGAAAAGGAACCTTACTAGAAAAATTATGAAATACACTACATTAATAATACCTTATATATTACTGTAAGTTGTTTTAATTTTTGTTTTCAATTTTTTTTAAATTGGAAATTATAATATCTATTTAAAATGATGACAATATTTATTTTCAAGAAAATTAAAGAGTAAAATGCAAAAACACCCCTTCTGTAATGTCGAAAGGCCAAAAAAACATGGGTTTAAACAAATTAAGTAACCGAAAACCCCATTTAATCAGTAGTCAAAGTCATACACTCCCCTGTTAAAAAAATAAAATAAAATGAAAAACAAAACAAAAGGAAGAAGAACCGGTGGTGGAAAGATAGGAGATGAAGAATTGGGTCGGTGAGGTAGGGTGGTGTGCTGGCATGGGCGGAACCAGGAAATTTGATTAGGGGGTCAGGGTCTTATGAAATGATACAACATAGGAAGATTAAATTTTTTGGGGGTTCAAGGACATCGTCCCCCATTTTTTTAGACTAATTCATAAAAGAATGAAACAAAAATAAGTAATATTTTATCTATTTTATGTGAAATGGCATGATTTAACAATAATATTTTATATTGTCATAATAAATATGAATATGTATATAAATTTACATAAAATAATAGAGAAAAAATAAAAACTTGAAGGTCAAAATTTATATTTACACAAGATTGGAGGGCCAAAACTTATATCTTAAAATATTACTCAAAATTACTAATTTTTTTTTTTATATAAATCTTGGGGGAGTCCACAGCCCCCCTTCCCCCTCTTATCTTCCGCCCCGGGTTGTGGGGTGCTAGGAAGAAGACAACTTCTTTTTTTTTTTTCTTTTTTTTTTTTCAATTTTTCTTATTATTATTTATATTTTATATATATATTAACGGTCAATGGGTGCGAAAATATGAGGGACTAAATTGAAAATCTTAAGAACCTTCATTTTTTGAACAAACAAGATGGGATGAATCTTTAATTTTCAAATAACTTGATTTAAATAGTATTGATCCATTGCATATTTCTGATTGGAATTCTTTTTTTTTTTTTTTTTTTTTTGAGGTTTTTTTGTCTCTTCAGAGAGCGGTGAACAGATGAAAAGAAAGGGTCGAGTGTACTTGTTTGAACTGATTAAAGGAGGATTTTTGGCACATCATTTTTCTCAGATTTTTTATTGGCCTTAAATATTACACAAGGGGGATCTTTTTCATTTTACTCGAAAATCAAATATTAAAATTACTAAATTAGATAAAAGTTGGTCATGATGGACTCTGAGATGACTATTGTGTTTATGGATGTATATGCTCTGCCCCTTACAATTATTTGTCACATGACTGACCACAACTTTATTTTGTATATATATGACTCGCGCATATGAGCTTACGCGAAGAAAGCGGCCTACAAATGTAGAGCTAGAAACGGTAGTAGAGCCAGCCAAAGTTTACAGGGTTCGGGGTTAGCACTCTCAAAATTTTTGGAAGGTAATTTAAATAATAGCACAAAATGTGTGATACGGTTTTATATATTGGAGAGAGAGAGAGAGAGAGAGAGAGAGAGAGAGAGAGAGAGAGAGAGAGAGAGAGAGAGAGAGAGAGAGAGAGAGAGAGATCTTACAAGAGCATCACTAGTTTCGGTAAGAAGAGAAGGATTTTGACGAAGTAATCTCTGCAAGCCAGTGAGATTTCCGGCTTCTGCGCATTCATGAATGGTGATTTGTTTAGTAGACAATGATTTCATTTTCTTGTACTCATCAATCCTCATCCTTCCTTTCCCAATTATCTAAATTAATTACCTCTGTCGATCTCTAGATATTTGATGGATCGGAGTTGTCTTTGTTTTTGGTTTAGAGAGTAGTTGATTTTTTATATATGTGAATCAAGAATGAATCGGTCGTCTCTGTGATTTAGTGTTTGACTTTGTGTACCTACTACCATATGAAAAAAGTCCACTTGATTACTTGGGATTTTGACCGCTTCTCACCTTCCTGCATGTTAGACGCTTTATTGAAATAATATCCCTCGTTTAATTCTAACTATTAGTTGACATTTAAAAAAAATATCATACTTAATTCTAACAAGCAATCTCTCCGTGCAAACTACCGATTATTCATATTTCTGCAAAGTCAAACAAGAAAAATTAATGGGTCCAAATTTAGATCCAAACCTATTTTAATAGAAAAATTGGATGTCATAAGATGATTGACACGTGGATAGTTTAAATAAAAATATAATTAGGATAATAATTGAAAAAAAAAAAAAAACCAGCAGAACCTGTAACCCCTCTGACCCTAATTATAATTAGCGTGATTTATTAAGAGTGAAGACTTTTAAAGTGCAACATGTAAAAAAAAAATAGTGGAATCCGATTTATCTTAAATATCGGCTGATCGGCTCAGAATTTAATCTCAAAATTAATTCATACATAGTGAAATTATAACACAATATACTCATTTATATATGGGTAAAATATCCAATTAAACATGCGTAAATGAAGGTGATATCAATAGGCAGTTCAATGGACCTACAATTTAATTATTTACTGGGTCTTGAGCCTAGTTTAGAAGTTATCACTACGAAGGCCCAATCACCTTTAAATAAGGTTTGGGCTCGATACATTGATTTCGACCCAACATGGAAGTATAAATAGAACTTGATTCGTTAAATCAAGGTACGTTATTTTTACTCAAACAATCTTGCTATTATAATTCTCTCGATTATTTCACGAACCAAATATCACTTAAGCATTGGAGGGTTTCCGCCGGATCAACCCGTCTTAGTTCACGTTTACTTTTTATGCAGGAATTTCAAGGTCGGCTTAGTTCACATTTACTTTTTATGCAGGAATCTCAAGGTCGGCTTAGTTCACATTTACTTTTTATGCAGGAATCTCAAGGTCGGCTTAGTTCACATTTACTTTTTATGCAGGAATCTCAAGGTCATCTAACACGTGATCGGTGACCCAATTTATCTCTTCGACTATATTTATTACAGGTGATTAATACGCATCATAAGAGTGATACCCATATATGAGAAGGTCCAATGAGGTTTTTCGCCATGGTCAAAAATTGAAATTTTGATCTTAATTTTTGAGACCCATAGGAAACATAAAATATACGTTTTGCCCTATTAGTTTCAACTCAATAAATAACCTAATCCCCCTAACCCTCTCTCTTCCACTTACACGTCTCAGACCCACAACCGCCCATTTACATCTCTCGCTCTCTCTATTTCTCTTCATCTGTCGCTCTCTCTCTAGATC